CAATGATGTTTTCTTTGTATATATATATATATATATATATATATGTATACAGTATCTTATTGTTTTTACTTTTTTCTAACTTTTAACAGCATTCATAATGGAAGGCAAAGGAATAATTTCATTGTACAAGGAAACGTAATTGTTTCTTTATTGCGCATATTCTGATTCTGACTGATTCTGATATGATAAACACTTTGAACTTTACAATTTTACAATTAAAATCTTCTTCTTCTTCTTCTTTCGGCTGTTCTCGTTAGGGGTCGCCACAGGAAATCATCTGTTTCCACCTACAGTAACTCTGTTCTCGGCATCCTCTACTCTCGCCCCAACTAACGTCATGTCCTCTTTTAGTACATCCATATATCTCCTCTTTGGCCTTCCTCTTGACCTCTTGCCTGGCAGCTCCATCTCCAACATCCTACCAGTATAACCGCTATCCCTCCTCTGCACATGTCCAAACCATCTCAATCTGGCCTCTCTGACCTTGTCCCCAAACAGCCGACCTGAGCTGTCCCTCTGATGTGCTCATTACTCCTCATCTCTGCTACCTCCATCTCTGCCTCTTGTCTTTTCCTCACTGCTACAGTCTCAGGCATCTTCCACCCCCAAACCTGCGCGCAGGCAGCATGGAGGATAAAAGACCCTGAACCCAAGATCTCTATACAATTTATCTGGTTTGGGCTAACCCCATTCTACACAGGCACGTCAAACCGTGACGTCACCTGATATGCCAGCTTCACAGCTGGCCGTAGCAGTAGTCAAAACATGGAGAGAATCAATGTGTGTGTGAGTGTTGATCATGTGGTGTGTAGCTAAAAACATACAGGACATTCAGGGACATGTCCGAACAGTAAGCCTCGGAAGATATTATGATTAAGATTACGGCTGAACATATCATGCTAATAACAATATTCATCCTGCCTGCAGACTCTTCAATCTAGTTGACCTTGGCCTAGATGCAGCCTGCAGAACTCATGACAATGAACTGAGCATTTAACAGCCTGAGCTAGACATCCTGGCTACACTTAAACATTCCTATACAACAAGTATCTAATCAATAACTGACTAAGAAATTACCTAACATCCCGCAATGGGGGAAATGCCTGTATTTCAGCCATGAGGCTCTGAAAAACTACTCAAAAATACCTAAAACAAGACAATATAAAGTATTCGAGAGAAATTGAGGACAAGATTTTACACATGTGCATATTTACAATGCATTTTACCCCCAGGATTTGAGGATTGTACCTCAGTTGACTATTGCATAGTCCCTCATACTTTCACCTAACTTATCACTGCAGTGATGTATTGTACAGTCTGATAGCTGTGGAGAGGAATGACCTACGGTAACACTCCTTCTTGCACTGGGGATGTAATAGTCTTGTACTAAAGGAACTGTTCAGAGCCTCCACTGTGTGGTGCATTGGATGGGAGGGGTCATGCATGATGGATGTTAGTTTTGCCAGCATCCTTCTGTCCGCCATCTCCTCGATGGAATCCAGAGGGCACCCAAGACAGAACCAGCTTGTTAAGTCTCTTATACTTGTCACTGTGCAGTCAGTTAAGCTGTTAGGTAAACCTACCAGTCGTGAAAATGTTTTTATAACAAGATTGCCTTGCAGCAGTAAAACAGTATTTGACACAAGTCTTTACCTCTAGTTTGGCCTGTCCAGGATGAAAAAGGCCAGAGTTGTGGTGGTGGGAGCTGGAGTGGTCGGCTTCTCCACTGCTGTCTGCATCGCTGAGGCGCTTCCCATGTGCTCTGTTACTCTGCTGGCCGACAAGTTCAGCCCGAACACCACCAGTGATGGCGCTGCTGGGATCCTGCTTGCTGTCGAGTTTCCAGGTAGCAACAATATCTTAAAAAAAGATAAAAATTTAAATTACATTAACTGTGTTTACTGACTACAAAACATGTTAAGCAGCCAGTGCAATTTTACCAAGTCATTTTAAGTTCCCAAGCTCGTCATCCACCACCACCACCATTTCTATACATACAGTACGAAGCCATATGTTTTGCATGTTGAACATGACTGATTTTCACCATATTTCTTTTTCAGATATTCCCTTGGAAAGACAGAGACGTTGGTTCAAGGACAGCTTTGATCACCTGTTGGCCATTGCTCAATCACAACACTCACCTGAAGCTGGAGTAATACTGAGCTCTGGGTAACAGTTGTTATGTACAAATGTGGTGATTACTCAGCCAGGTAACTATTAAACTAGATGTGTTGTTTGTTTTTTTAAAAGTTGGCAAATTTTCAAGGAAGTTCCGGTTGACAAGTTGCCCTTCTGGTCAGAGTTGGTGATCGGCTTCCGACTTATGACTGACTGTGAACTAAAACGGTTTCCACAGCACAAGTTTGGCCAGGCGTTCACTACCATAAAATGTGAATGTTCAAGCTACCTGCCATGGCTCGAGAACAGGTCTGTCCTCGGCTTCTTCAGGGTCATGTCAAATTGTTTATTCACATTTTGGATATAAGCTATGTGTTGGGTATTATTTTCTTCTTAAAATGGTTAATTCCAAAACCAAGGTTCTACTAAAGGGGGATTTAAATCCATTCTGGAGTGTACTGAAAGTTTTCCATATATCATTACTCATCATCACTATAAAACTCTTATATTGCATATCAACTGTTATCATTACCTCTTTCCTGAAGGTTTATAAAAGCTGGAGGTGAAGTGAAACAGAGGAAAGTCAACAGTCTTGAGGAATTAAGCAGCAGCTATGATATCATTGTCAACTGCTCTGGCTTGGGATCCAAAAATCTGGTGGGTGACACCCAAGTGTACCCAGTCCGGGGTCAGGTCCTCAAGGTGGAGGCGCCCTGGCTGCAGCACTTCATCAGAGATGGAGATGGGAAGGCCTACATCTACCCTGGCATACACAGCGTCACTGTAGGCGGCACGAGACAGGAGGGAGACTGGCGGCTACAGGTGGATGAAGAAGATACAAGGAGCATCATGGAGCGGTGCAGCAGGCTGGAGCCGTCACTCAGCAAAGCCAAAGTTCTCAGTGAGTGGGTCGGTCTGAGGCCCAACAGGAAGAACCCGAGGGTGGAGAGGGTGCTAGTACACCTGCAGGGCTGCAGGGTGCCTGTAGTCCACAACTACGGTCACGGGAGCTGCGGAGTTACGCTCGCCTGGGGTACCGCACTGGATGCAGTAGGGCTGGTCAGGCAGTGCCTTAATGAAATGCTGCTGGAGGCTAAACTGTGAGCATCTGACACTAAATCCAGATTGTACTTGTTGCAAATAACACTAGCCTTGACATAGTAAGACAGAGTTGCAGAGATGTAAATCATTGACAGATGTCAATAAATCAAAATATATTAAAATGCATTAGTAACTTCAGAATCTATACAAGCTTTTAGAAATGTTTTATGGAAAAATAATACATTTAATGGCGCTTTAGTTACTACTGTACCAACATTTTGGGACTGTTTACAAGACAATGTTTCCAGTGTTTGGTACCACCAGCAGTTGCCTTTGAGTACAGATGCCTACTGTCAGAAGTTAAGTGCTGTATTTTTAAAGAAACCTTAGTTTATTGAAAAAATTAGAAGGGTGATTAACAGCCATGCTAGAATTTACTGTTGTACTGTGTATATATAAAGAAACCTTTATTAATTAACGAACAAAAACTGGACATAAAATACTGTACATTTCAAATTTGTGATTAAAAACTAAACTGAAATGAACAATTTTCAGTGTGTCGGTTGTACCTGTGTGCTTCATCATTCCTGTCACACTGCAGATTGATTAGCAACACATGTTCTGAAGTAACAAAGCACTATTTGCAATCATTTTGGTTTTGCTAAAACTTTGTCACAGCTGATTTTAACTTGCCCCAGTACAAAAAGCACAGGTATTACTAATGTACCAGAAGCAGTACAACTATGTACAATATCAGGACCCTGAAGCAGAAGTAGCTAAACTCAGCCATCAGTCACTTGAGCATGTACAGTATGTCTGTGCTTTTCCTCCATTGACATTTCAAAATGCATTCTGTGAGACAGTAAGAGCCCACGTTCACTATATACACGCTTAAAAACCATTTGAAAGGCATTTAAATAGCCAGGTCAGTTCTCATAATTCAGTTACATTTGCAGAAAGCTTAGATTATATGGGGGGGAAAAAAAAGTATTTCAAACATCCTGGAAAAAAGTAACTGAATTGAACAGCAACAATTAACCTCTGTGACACTTCTGGAGCCAATAACTTTTCAGAAGGTCTGTTTTGAGATTTAATACCCTGCAGCTGGAGTCTTTCTTCCAGAGGTTGTGGATGTGTTCATATTTCTTTTAGCTTTCAGCCGACGGGCTTCCGAAGTGGCTGAAATCGAGCGGTGACTCCTATCCCCTGAAGAGATGTGGTCTATATAGTTGTACACACAGACCGTTTCTGTTAGTAAAGGCTCTCTGAGCGCGTCTGGTGAGGAAGGTGTAGTTAGGGGATGATGGGCCCTTCCCACCGGCACTGTGGGGGGCAGCTCGAGGTGTGAGCTTTGTGGTGCTTCAGACACTTTGCTTGTGCAACACACAGCATCATATGATGTGGTTGAACATCGGGAGGGTGAAAACACGACCCCACAGTGTTTTTGAGGATTTATTGCATGCTGAGAGTTTTCTTCAATCTCAGCACTGGGGTTCAGGGTCAAGTCTTTAGGTCGGATGAGTCCTCTATTCTGCTCTTTGAGGAGGCTTCTCAGAGAGACGCAGGGCCTCAGCAGCCTCAGTGGTGGGTGTTGTTCTAGCTCCATGCAGCTCTGGCTCCTAGACATGGCTCCACTGGGAAGATGACCTCTTTTGGAGCTCATGCGACTTAAGCTGTTCTTAGGTCCTAGTGACGGTAAGACACAGGGCTGGCGTTGTGGTTCATTTCGGAGTGATGTCTGACTGGGTCTGGTTCTGGTCAGAGGGAGAGCAGGGCGCCCTGGGGACGGGACGTGGCTCGACTCAAAACCAGAGGAGGACCTGCTCATGGATGAAGAAGTCCTTTTGTCCTTTCCTGAAATAAACAAGTGCAGTGTGTGTGGATCATGCAGATGCCAGTCAGTTGTAGTATTCAACTTAAACACAGCAACAGGAAAAGCTGATGCGAAAGGGTGTCCAAGGGAAAAGAAAGGTTCAAAACAAACTGTAAATGAGCGCTAAAATGAATGAAAGAAAAGAAGCAAGCAGACAAGTCTGGTAAAGCATGGAGTCATTTATTCCTCACACTCAACCAGGACAGAAGCACATCGAAAAACACTGCAGACCCTAAACCTGCAGCACTCCGGTCAGAAGTGCTTTCACCTGGTTTAACCGTTAAAAAAAAAAAAAAAAAAACTGTATTAAGGTTCATTTTAGTGCATTTACAATTATACAGAATTGTATATTTAAACAATTATAACAATATTTAGCAAATATTTTAACAGGTATTCAGTTTTCAGGCACATGATAAAATACTGTGCAACCTTATATTTTACTCGACAAAAAAAAAATACACAAACAGCAAAATCTTGAGAGAAATACACTATACAAGTGTGGCTGACGAGACATCTTTGTCCAACTACGCGACCTTTACACGTTCACAAAAGCCTTTATTTACTCTCTGCATATTGGTAAGTTTTAGAGGCGAGCCAATCCACAGAATAATATAGCTATGAACACAGCATGTGTTCACAGTTAATGTGTACTGTGTAACTTTTTAAATCGTGTTGGTTTTAACACTCTAATCACACATCGCTTCAACAGTCACCATTTTCAGCAAATGCAAAACCACCACACAATTCTGCAGAAGACCCACAAGCTGCTCCACATAACTGTTCACGTGTGAGAGAAATGTTTGTTAGAGGTCAAAACTGCAGAAACATGATAAGTGAACCTAGTAGTCCCACTGTAACAGAGAAGCTTGTGTTATCTCTTCTCCGTTTTTATATTATACTGAGAATATAATGCTTGTAAAGAAAGGCAAGTAACATCAACTCCCAAGCAGTGAACAGACAAAACAGTGACAGCAAAACAGTTCGAGTCAATGATGCAGAAAGAGAAGTATGACTCAAAGAAGAAGATGCTTAGGAGAACAAAAACCACACCAGAAGTAACGTGACAAAAGCAGGAGTTTTTCCAGAAGCGCATGGAAACTGAAGTTGGTGGCTTGGAATGCTTGAGCGTCAAAAAAAAAAAGACCAAGGACCACATGAGTCCTAGTGAAGACTCAGGCAGAGGAGGAGGACAGTGCTCACAGGAGACTCAGGCTGTCATTACCGTTCTCCAGGTTCTCATTGCCCTCGTAGCAGCCTGAGTCCCGCGGGGAGTCGTCTAAGAGGCTACACCTGTCCAGGAGCAGCTTCTCCTGCGAGCCAGACTGACTGCTTCTCTCTGGGTCGCTGCTTCCTGCAAGGCACAACACCACCAGAGGCAGACACAGACACTCACAACTTAAGATCTTAATAAAAAAAAACAAAAAAAAAACACATTGCTTTGCTTTTGAAGATCGCCGGGATAAACATGGTAACAGACTCGTTCAAATTAAAGAATGGAATTAAGTTAATCACAAGTACAAATACTGTAAAGGTGGGTCAAATATGTTTAAACTGCAGATTTTGAAGGAGCAAAGTTACAAAGAGGCTTCTTTTGTAAGAAAGTCATAAGGGGGTCAACTACTGTATGTTGCACAATGTTCCAAAGAAGGAGCCTCATGTTTGTCAAATAAAACACCTGCACTGACAGAAAAACAGCTTCCTTCGCCTTCACATGTATATCACAGATACACAGTAAGCAATGCAGTATACTGTATGGAATGCATCCTAATGTGGCCCAGGATTTTATGTAGTCTATCCTTTTCTGTGTTTCTAGTGAGGTAACACACCCTGCTGGTTACCTGACCCACCGTCATACTCCTGTAGCAGCTCCACAGCGGTGAGCAGCACAGCTCTGTGCTGGAGGTCTCTGATGTTCAGCTCATCTAGGTCCTCCTCCTCCAGCAACTTGAACGTGTCCAGATCCTCATAGCCGTTAAAGAGGAACGTGGGAAGATGCTCCTGTGGAGAGGTGAGGTGTGTAGATGTTTCACAAATAGATCTAAAAAATCTGGAGGAGGATTTAATGTAACCTTGAACAGTTTGGATATATTTAGAACAGCTCAAAGGTATTTTGAGCTGTTGAGATATGATACAAGATTCCAAACCCAGCTGTAACTTCAAAAATTCATTTTTTTCCCCAAATAAAAAAGTAGAAATGATACATTTTGGGAAACACTTGTTTGTTCCCTTACTGAGTGTACAGTACAATAAGACTAGAACTATGAGATTCTTAATCTTTGTTTGAGCCAAATAAAATGCGCCCTCATGTTATGAGATTGTTACTTTGAGGTTGATGCGATCAAGGAGCTCCTCCACAGAGGTGGGTTTGGGCTGCCGGGCCTTCCTCCTCCTCCGTGTCTTTTTGGGCTTCACCTCCTCTTCATTCAGGACATCCACATAAATGAACTTGAAGGTGCCGACTTTACCGTTGAGCATCCCCATCCATGTACCCATTGGGGGTTTACTAATGATATCGATGACGTCTCCACTCTGAAAAACGAGACCAGCGAGGCTTGAGCACCTTAAAAAGTACTGAATCACCTCTACGTATTTATACGTGATTTACTGTAGTGTTACAGCGGTTCTACCTTCAGTCTGAGAGAGTCTGTGTCATAGGGACTGGGGGTGAAGTCGGTATGAACGAGAGCACGTCCACAGAAGGGCCCGTGGTAAGGCAGCTCATCCTCTTCCCCGTCCTCAGACTTTACACTTTCTCTGTTGCTGTTGGAGGAGTCAGTGGTGCCCACTGTCTGACCGCCTACACAAACCACAAAGGATGAGCTGCTGCAAGACCACTTCCACCGGTCTGTCATATTATATATATATATTTCTTTCGATCTGACTGAAATGCAAGATGTCACAAGTTTTCTACACAAACAAAATACAGTGAGAACAGGAAGTTTAGTCTGAAAGGCAGTTTAATGTCCTTGAAACTTTTGTCAGATAAATCCCACACATCTGGTGTTCCAAGGCCAAGTGAAAACAAATTCTGAGAATTATTTGCAAGTACAGTCAGATCTGACACACGCATGCAGTAAACACACAGACTTACTCATGGAGCTTTGTCCACTGAGGGAGCTCCTCAGGCTTTCCACAGACCCTCCTAGCTTCAGTTTGGGTTTCTCCAAAGACTCAGCGTCTGTCTGAGGTGTGTGAGGGCAGCTGGACATCCAGTCTGGGTTTGACTGAAACAGAAGAAACACTTATTACCTACACTTGACAATGCTGACAACACTGTCTACATGCATAATCTATAAGAGTAACACTGACCGATGCTTTTGTACTCCAACTATACTAACTGTGAATGCTGTACCTGTTCAGATGCAGAACACTGGTATCTCTTGGATATGTGTTTTCTCATCGTTTCCGTCACAGACTTGACTTTTTTGCCCAAGGAAATACGTGATGGTGAAGCAGTGTCTCTCACAGCACCATCGCCACCTTTGTTCTAATTTACATACAAAAAAAACCAACAGACAAGTTTAACCATATTTTCTGACTTAGTGTGTGGAGAATTCCAGAGGAATGACAACTGCATACAGTGTTATCACTGCCAGAGGTGATGGCGTGCACTGAGCGGTTCGTCAGGTCAAATCCTCCAAAGCTACATGCTCTCTGTGGAAAAAACAAAAACAAAAAAAAAACAAACAAAAAAAACAAAACAAACAGGACACTCATAAGCAGTGATCTGGGTGAAGTTGGCGCTGACAGTTCTGTCCATCACTCATATTAACAACTCGAGTTTTTGTTGAGGAAACGTGATTATTTCTGAGCTGCAACATGGGGCACATAAATCACTGCAGTGGCTCCAGTTGTGATCTCTGACGGAGACCCAGCTTTCTGACACTGGGTCCGACATTGTGCCCCAGAATTCATAAGGTCATACAGTCAAGACATCCAGTGTCTGAGGCAGCAGAGCAGCCCCAAAACATCAGTGAACCTCCACAGTGTTTGACTGTAGGGACTGTGTTCTGTTCTTTCAAGGCCTCATTTCATTTTCTGAAATCAGTAGAATGATGTGCTCGACCAGAAAGCTCTACTTTAGTCTCATCTGTCCACAGGACATCCTCCCAGAAGGACTGCGGCTTCCTCAGGTAAGTTTTTGGCAAACTCCAAACTGGCTTTTTTAGATTTCTGTGTCAGCAGTGGGGGCCCCTGGGTCTCCTACCAGTGTCCCTCATCATTCAGATGGCGACAGATAGTGCGAGCTGACACCCTGCTGCACCCTGTGCCTGCAGCTCAGATTGAATCTGTTTGGAAGTTAATCAAGGTTCTTTGTCCACCATTCAAACAATCCTTTGTTGCAATCTGTCATCTAGTTTTCTCTTTCGTCAGTGTCCAGGGAGATCAGCTACGGCGCCATGAGCTGTAAACTTCTTGACAATGTTGCACAGTGGACACAGGAACAGCCAGACCTCTGGAGATGGACTTGTAGCCTCAAGATTGTCCAGGCTTTTCCAATATTGTGGTTCTCAAATCCTCAGACGGCTCTTTGCTTTTCTTTCTTTTCTCCATGTTCAGTGTGGTCCACACGACGCAAAGATTGAGTCAAGTTTCCTCCATTTTAACTGGTTGCAAGTGTGATTTCTATATTGTCAGCATCTGCTGACTGTTACAGGTGAGTTTCACTTCCTAATTATTAGGAGCATCACATGCTGGAAATACAGTTGAAAAGGTGTCAACAATTCTGTCCAGTCCATTTTTGGAGTTTTGTGTGGAACGGATCAGATTTGGCTTTTTCCTCTGCTTTTTTATGTCGTTCCAATGCAAACAACAGGAATAAACAGGAGAATACCAAAGAATTGGTGATTGCAACAATTTTCTGGGAGAAGTGGTGCGTTATCTGACAGAAATGCAGTGGTGCCAATATTTTTGGCCATGACTGTATGCGTCTGTCTGAAACCAATAACAAAGACATCCTGAGGCATGTGGTCTGGCCATCAGTGAAGTGATGGCTTTCTAGGGGGAGGTTTTACTGCTATCTCAACCTCAAAATTAAACTCTGTAGAAAACCAAACAAAACCTGTTAGGCTGAAGGACAGTACTAACATTAACTCATAACAAACCCACTAATATCAGGGGTGAAAAGATGTATTCATTTTGTAGAGTACAGAAGTGTTAATGGCAAAAACTGCCAAGCAAGAGTCATTATGCAAAGGCCTCTCTGTACTCACCCCATGGTGGGTTAGTGAGCTCAGCATACGATGTCGGAGCTCTCCATCAGTCAGTGAGTGGGCGATTTTGGGGTCTTCATGACTGCAAACCTCTATTTTAGACCCAGTGCCTTCAGCAGCCTCCCTCACCTCCCCTGTTATAGTCGTCTCCTGATGAACTGGGCTCCCACTAGACTTGTTAAAGGCCTGGAAGATTTTCTGCCTACTGCAGGTGTCATCACTGCTGAAGGAGGGGGAGGTGGTCAAGCTGTCACAGTCCCTGTCGTAGGTGAGCTGCTCCTGCAGAGCCGAAGCCTGGGAGCTCACAGAACAGGCTGCAGGCTCCCTCAGGACACCTGAGTACAGGCAGGTACTGGCATCTCCACAGGGAAGCCCATCTACGTTTAGGCTCTCTGGGCACATAAAAGAGGAGGATGGAGGCAATTAAACACGCAATAAAATGTTACAGAAACAGAATAAAATCTAACAAAATCATCTCATTTTTATGGAAGAGGACTGGGGCCACAGTAAAGTTTTAGTTCAAACTCAGTATTCTGACTGTTTTTTTCAGGATTCTGACTTTAGAGACGACTATAATTCTAAGATTAAAGCCTGAATTTACATAAAACCTTTACAATGGCCCTAAACCCCCTTCTGTAAATTTTAGATTTACATTCAAAAATGTTTAGCCCATTTTTTTCCAACAGATATCAGCTACAGTATTCATGTCATAGGTAGGTTCATGTTCGCAATACAAAAGAGTTTGTAACCATGCTGAAACAACAACATACAAACAAACAAAAATAACATATCGTTAAGTAGCATCACATAAAAATGTCGACAATTCAAGAATTGAATCCACTTGGGCTTTATACGATAAATTCTGATATTGCTTCTAGTACCCTCTGCTCCAGGCCTTTTAGTCTCATCAATTCTGATCAGCTTCTTCGTCATGTTTCGAGTTGAGCTGACCAGTTTATGGAGTCTCCTGAACGTCACAGATTCCTCTTGTTCATTGTCGGACAGGTCACAAGGCTGGCAGGAGAGACCCAGTGAGAATTTTATTTATAGAAAACAATTCATCTTCCTATAGCTTTATAGGTGTGGTAAAATATTAAATACTGAGTCTGTTCACCAGTTTTAAGGTCTAACATTTTGGAAACAAAGAGATATACTACTTCATACTGATACTTTTGCTGTCTTTATATTCAGATGTGATATGTAAGCTCACATATCTCAAGGTATCATAAGAACGTCTCCCCATTTCTTGTGATTAAAAACGTATTTAAGCTGCGTGTGTGCTGAAGATGCTACTGCAAGAATAATATCTGCAGTCTGCTGTGCAGACTACATGCAGCTTAATATAAAATTGTGGCAGGAAGCCACAGTGATGATGATGAAGACCATGCAAACAGCTGTACCATATGCAGTGTGACCTATATGTGGGGAAACAAATTCAGCTGCTTGGAAATCACCTTAACCATGGTCTAAAGTAATGGTTTGTAAAAATACTGTATCAGCTGTGCATCTGAAGACTCAGGTCACATCTGTTGAGACTTTATCTTCTGGTCATAACAAGCACCGTATGCACATCCCAAAATACATGTCAAAAGAAAATGAAAGCTGATTAGTAGAAACGAGAGAGGGGGTAACACGCACCACACTCAGACAGAGGAAGTGAGAGGACAAAGAGTCAGGCCATCTAGACACATCTGAAAAATGTGTCCTGAACCCGAGCCCCCTAATCACCCCACCCAGGCATAAAAGAGCTGTGGCGTGCATAACAGGGCCCTATGCTGAATCCACCCAGTCACTACAGCACAATAAAGGGTTACTGCTTTCATAGCAATGAATAGAAGTCCGCCCAATACCCTGTAGTTGGGAAAGGGCCCTGAGCCGCTGGGCTTTAGAGGGGCCCCGGTTCATCGCCAGGACAGGGACAGAGAAAAAGAGAGAGCTGCTGTCAACAGCTCAGCACTCACTCTCTCATGGACAACACAATGCCCGAAGGAGTGATTCAGCATTAAAAAACAAACAAATGCTCTCAAACTGGGAGCTCACACACTTACGTTGCAGCTGAATGACTCATTTGTGGTGGGATTGGAGGGACTGGTCCACTCTGTAGGATTGGATGTGCATTTCTGTCTGTTTTGTATCTCAAACTCCTTCAGCTGCAAAAGAAGATGACCCAGTTAGCACATGGTGCAGAACTAGAATACTAATATAAGGTACCAACTGATGGTGTTTATCTTTTAACAGCTGGGATATAACAGTATATATTGAAGCAACATGCTTATGCCTAAATCAGGCTATTAATGATAGATACTCAAAAATCAGCATTAGTTTCACATCACTAAAATGTTGTCAAGATGCTCACATAATACTGTACACAGAGAAAAGCCTTTCACATCCCACTTGCTTTCTGGAGTGAAAATACGTTTGTTTGTTTGTTTGTTTTTAAATCAAACACCTTAAGGTCTTGCACCAACCAGATGTTTGACCCATGACAACAATCTCTTTTCCAAAACAAACTCTACCAATCGAGCAAAAAGCACAAAAACACAGCAGCTGGAACTTTCACAGCACAGTACAGCAGCAGCGACACATGAAGTGAAGAACCTTGTGGAGCATGACCTCGTACCCGTGCCAAGGCTTCCTCTATGGAGATCATATTCTCCTTCACCATCATCATCAGCTGGATACGCTCTTCATCACTCATGGTTATTTCACTAGCCACAAAACCAACATCATCACCTGTCAGGCAGAAAGTAGAAATGTCAGCAGACAGAACTAAACAACTGACTGCTTTAATTTGGCATTCTATAAAATAAATCTGAATGTCAGATAAGAAAAATATGTTGAGAAATCCTTAGGCACATTTGTCACTTACCTTTTTCTGCGTTAACTCACCTTTTGAAATTTGATGCATCGATCCTTTCTGTGATTTTCGAAAATTCTGCCAAAAATACTTGCTCTTCCTCTTTCCATCCCATTTTCCTACACAGTACAGTGCCTCAGTTTAATTTCATACACAGAAAAAAATAGAAAACAGCACTGCCACAAAATTAAATTTACTTACAAAAATAACCAGGATTAACTTATGCCCTAATTTGCAGTACTCTCAAATAAAAGCATAAAGGCAATTTTTAGTATTTAAATAGATTCACCCTACCTTTTCATTACTACTTAGAGCATAACTAAATGCTACTTCATAAACCAGCATAAGGTTTAAGATGTATTTAATCATAAAATGTGTATTTACCACCTGATCCATCATCAGAGCTCGATTTGTGCACAGGGAACCTAAAAGACAAACAACACAGTCACTTCATTTGCAGAGTTCAAACTGGGAATCAAAGCCCTGAACAGAATAATACCTGTTTTCCAAAGTTATTTTCTTCATTTTCCCTGATATCCCACCATCTCCCTCAACATGTCTGTCCTCCAGACTTGCGTCAGATTAAAAAACAAATAAAAAAAGAATCACAAAAGTGCACTGTTTCTCATGACACTAGCATTACAGTAAAGGCAAATCAAAGTAGTCAAAACAGACGAAAAACACTGGCTTCTCTTGGCTGATGAACAGAGATGAGTTCTCTTTGGCCATTGCGGGAACAATAGATCCTTTTTCATGTTCAGTCTGGGATTTGCTGCAGCAGCAGCAGCAGCCTCTGCATTCCCTGCACACTTTCACCCCCCATCCCTTTTTTTCTGTCTGGATGTTTGTTGTGTATAAATGCCTGCTTCACAGTTATCTCTCTCAGCAGACAACTGCTACTGGTATTGACCGAGTGTATCAGTTTGCAAACAGATTAGACCTACAGTATACTGCTTGTTTGTGACATCTCATCACATATTATCATACTGTCTACAGCAGAAAGAACAGAGGCTCCTTCCTGACCACAAATACATGAACAACATTTTAATTTCTGTGCATGTTTTTAATTAACTGAATCATATCCCAATACTGTTTTTTTTTTTTTACATGTTAGTCATTCAAGTTCACAGAAAACTCTATGGGACGCATAGTGACGAACTCAAAGGGCTTCACATGCTCCCATTTACCACAGTAAATAATGACATTAAGACCTTCCAGGCACCGTATGATATGAACAAAAAACCGTTCCAATATAAAACTTAAAAATGTGTGCTCACTACAACTTCATTTAGAAAATATTTAAAAAAAAGTAAAATATACAAAGAAAAGACAAATTTAAACATATCAGATATCAATTTAAAAAGTAAAAGCTCAGAAACGTTACTGTAAAAATAATGGTGGTATTGTTACTGAGACTAGCATCGGCTTCTCCAGCACTAAACACCGGCCCACTAGGGGGCGCTGTAAGTGTCGTGCGAGTCCTTTTTGAACACACACCTTGAAGGAGGAGCTCTGCCTGTTGTGTTACTGAATACAGCTCTATACACAATGATTATTAAATCCTTAAAATACTGATACTGCATAACTTGTTCTTTAGAAAAGTGAATTATTGTGCTTCATCATTAGTCATCATCACAGAAATCCTTTCATCTTAATCTTGACTAATCTTTGAAATTCTTAAAAAAGGACAATAGAGGGAAGGAAGTTTCGAAGCGACACAGAAATGCTTCATACTCTGACTGGGGCACCAGGAAGCAAAGGGTGACATGGAGATAATATACGATATGATATCAAGCTTACAAAAGTGGACTGGACTTAAATGAACTACAGTATGTAGTCTGTAAAGCCTCAACACTATACATTATCGGGCCAAAACAATATTTCCAGTCATATTTATTATTATCTATTATAGTATTTATTGCTACTTAGAGTCATCTCTAGAATCACATGTACCTGCTCTTACAGATGCTTCAAAGTAGCATTGTTTTTACCTTCTTTCTGTTTCTGGAGTCGATGTGGTGCTGCTGAGTCCAAGGGATTCCTTAAGGAGAAGAACAAGTGTAAATATAAATACATATAGAGGCAATGCTTCAGTTTAGTGAACTGTTTATTAAGGTCACGTTTAAAGATCACAAAAGAAGAATTTCAGATATTCATTTATTTGTAATTTGTTGCACTTTTAAAATACTAATCTTGTGAATGCAAGATAGCTCACATATCCCACTAGTGACATTTTACCATATTTTAGGACCTCTTCTCTAACATTCAAGGACAGACTCAAGGCTGTCTGTGTCACAGTCAGTCCAATGTTACTTTTTAGTTTTTTGCTTGGGTTTTGCTCTGGATAACCATGACAAAGCAATTCTTTGGGCTCTTATCAGCCCCTCTGCTGACGCACAGAGAAGGAAGTTGCCGTCTTCCAGGGCCTGACACACACACAGAGAGCTGGACACTCACCTGGAGCTGAGAGCGGAGCTGAACTGATGTGGCCACTGAGTCAACCTTTCCCTGAAACACACAGGCAGGGGAAGCGGAGGAGTAAATTATAGTGTCATCATAACACAGAAATAGAAATAATATTCAGCTGACTGAATTGCTGAGTCTACATTACAGAATAACATCTGTTAACCGTTGTGTGCCATTGGTTGCATAAGGCGATTGAGTAAATATTTTAACATTAAAATATAGAGATTATTTAAATGCAACTTTTGACATTTCTGACTTAGAAACAGCTATTCAGATATTCAACAATGCAGCGACAACATTCGAGGCTGAGAAATGAAACCATTGCAGAAGTGCCAAAACCTGCAGTTCCTTGAATGGCCACTTGAGGCAGGCTCCAAAAGGGACTCGATCCCCAAAGACTCCCATGTTAAAATGTCCAACTTTACAGCAGAAATAAACTTTTACAGCCTGGAAAAAAAAACAGTTTGTCTCTATAGCTAATTTCCCTTTCCATGGCAACTGTATAGGGGGTGAATTTTTTTAAAAACTTACCTGTTTAAATTATACCGAGACTAAAAGTTATGCATAATTAAGGGCACGGCCACATTGAGTGCTAGGTGGGAAGGTCCCGCCATAGGTAGCTAGCTGCTAGCTGCCTAGACCTTTCAGGTGGAGTGAAGCTCTACCAATATGCGACAGCCAGACTTGAGCTTCAAAATTGCTTTTCAGAAAACTAATGGGTAATGTCACAGTGGGTTTGCCCAGTTTTTATATACAGTCAACGTTAACAACACAGCAGCATGTAACACAGTCATAGTAGACAGCAGTTAAAAAAATAATTTGACATTTCAGGCCTTCTTGATGAGATTTAGGTGACAAAGTGCATACCATTATGCTAAATATGTACCTACAGCAATCAGCTGGTTAGCTTAGTTTAGCATAAAGACTAGAAACAGGGGGAAACTACTACTGCAATTGGTATTGTAAGGTGTTAGAGCGTTTCAGAGGTGCAGGGAGACAGAGTTTATCATCTTCTGACAGTTAAGCTAATCACTTAAGCGCTGTAACTTAATGGTAAATGGATATGATAGTGATACTGATATTCTTCATTTAACTTTCTACAAAAAGCAAATACACATTTAAAACTGCAGCAGAAACAACCCCAATATTTAGTGCTGAAGTATTAGATTTTTTTGACCTTGGTTCATCAAAAAATGACTGATAAGGCTGTTTACCATCTCTGTGTCTTGCACTACTTTGCGTTTTCGTAGCTCCTCCATCCTTTCACAGACTTCACTGAGAGAGGTGCCGTAATACTGAGAGTACTCTTGAGCCAGGTCATCAAGGTTCCCCACTGAGCCATCCTGCAAGAGATAAAGGCAAACACTCACACAGATATGAGCACATACCAGAAGAGGAAACTAACACCTACAGAGGTTGAACTGCAGACACTCTATAAACAAGGACCACTGTCACGATAAGCCATTGTTTTAAGCTTTAGTACTGTCACCAGCTTGACAAACAACCAGGAAACAGAGATAAAGCACAAGGGGTGTAAAAGCATCACAGACATCCAGCTGTGATATTGCCTCTGTCTTCACCAGCTTGTTGTCTTCCTGCCCACAGACCTCACCTCCTCAGACCTGACCCCCTGGCCAGAGGAAACGCAGTGACACGACGTTCACTCAGCTCTCCTACAGTCACTGGGACTTGCTCAAGAGGCCACAGTTCAATCTATCATTAATCACATTAAGTACTCAGTCAGATGAGCCTCTCCTGGATGTAACCCTTTTAGTTTCCTTTAATGATGCCATGTTATGTGCCTTTTGCCATGTGGAAAGAAGGTTAATGACAGATAATCATGTGTGAGAATTTTTGCTGAGTTTTATGACTGCTGGGACCAGAATTAACACATGGGGCTAGTTTCCTTGTCAAGGAATAAAAAACCTAATTCTAGACTAAAATAAACCTGTAGCCCCATCTCTCCAAGTATTTATGTTCTCAAAATTATTATATTAATATACTGTGAAACTATTTTTCAATAGTAAAATGCATTATGGAGGAAACAAATTCTAAGAAGACCACACCTAGTCATGAATTAAAACAAGACAAACACAAGCTGTGTAGGATCTGCTGTACTAGCCATCAGTAAGTCCATAAACTGTTTCACGCATTATTATTACTATTATTATTGTTGTTATTAAGCTTCAACCATGCCATACCCTGAAGGAATGCAAATGTGCCCACTGAAAACAGTCCTCTGCAGTGAGGAGTATTACTGTGGGTTCACTTGTTTTGTGGCATGATAGACTGTGACTGACTCAACTGTCCAGAAAAGGAGGCCATTCATTTAGTGAATGACATGCCCCGGGGTCAAAAATGGCCTGAAAATCTGGCTGCTGCTTTTCATACGTTCAATAAACGAGGCTACAGCCAACTGAGAAGCTCTGCACTGTGCCACTCTTCTGCCTCAGACTGCCACTGATTCACATAAACAGCCTATTGTGACAGTCACATGATACTGCATCGCCCTGAGTGTTAATTAAACACGCTGCTCGTATACATCCCTGTCACACTGAATGTAAACACAGCTCAGGCATATACAAAACAACTGACTGAATGTGAAATCAAATACACAATATGGAATTTCATAATCGTGCCAAAAATTCTTGGAGAATGGGAGTTTAGGGAAAATATTCCAGTGTGCTTCACATTTCTCTCCGTTTTCAAATTAATGGTCTCTAAGATAAAACTGCAGCACGAGACATCAACCACAGAGACTTAAAAAGGAGAACCTGGTGTCACATTTCTCAGGCACTGAGCATCCAACAAGCAGACAAAAGATCCATGTGCCCTCAGGGCCCAAAGTGTCTAATGAGTGTTACAGTTCCTCTATCCTGTCTCACTTCTCCGATAAGCACCCTGGGTCACAAATTATCAGAAAATGCTTTGTATCACTTTATCCTGCTTTGAGCCATAAGTGTAGTAGGAAGCTCTGGAGTCAGACATCAATACCTGTGTATATATACATTGTACAGATTATAAAGAGTCATACAGGTCTCTAGTTTTAAATACTCTGTTTTTATCCCTATTTATCTCATTTCAATGAACATTCCTTTGTTGTCTACATTGTTTACTGTCTGTTTATACTGTTTTTTCTGCATTGTTTGCACTGGTTGTTGATGTTAATACTGCTATTTTGTTATATTACACAGCCTTATGCTGGTTTACTGTTTGCACATTGAGAGCCGATGTACCCGAGTCAAATTCCTCGTGTATCCGTCACATCTGGCCAATAAAGCTGATTCTGATTCTGAATACCACGAGTATCAGTGGGTTCAGAACATAGTTTTCTATTAATGCCAATTTCTCTGATAATAAGTGTCCTGATAGAATTAAACCTTAAGTCGACTCCATTTTGACCTGCAGTTGGTTTCATGCAAACTATATTCCACAGAACACCACATATGCACTGATGTAGCAGAAAAGCATTTTTTCCCAAACAGGGCTTAGAAAACCAAATATTTATCCCATTTGTTGTTCTTATTTTTGAATGACATATCACGTAAAAAAATAAATAAATACTATGCCATGTCAAACACACGTCAGTCAACTCAGCCACTTAATTTAAATCAAATGTCAATGTACAGGTTTAGTTCAGCACAGAATCTCATACTGTAAACATTGCTGATTAACCCATGAACATCTATTGTACAGTAAATGTGTTAAACAGATTAAGCGATGTTTCAACAGACTATGTGAGAACAAGCTCTTCAAGCATTTTCTACTAAATTAACATCTTCATTAACCGACTAAATCAGCTGGTTCACAGGAAAAGCTTAACGTTATCTTTTCAAACTTGGCTATATATTATCTACATATATATATATATAAACTGAATTTTTCACCAATGAATCCACACTAAACTATGAGCTCTCTAACCAGAGGACCACATTCCAGTGCATAAATACACTCACCACAAACAGGGATCTGTCTGCCAACTGTAGCTACCCAGCACAAGCTGCCTTCTCAGTTCCTCCACACTGCTGTAAGCGAAAGCCTTCGTTTTGAAACTTTACTCAGTTCAGTGAGTGGACAATAGGTTGTGAAGTGAAGGGGAGGGGTATCCGGCATGCATAAATCAGAGGTAGTTTGGCTGAGTGGAGGTTGGGGGAGTTGTAGCTACACATGATGCTGGTGGTGCTGGGTGGAGCGCTCTGCTCTCTCCAGCTGCAGCCCACAGGGACTGGATGACTCACATGTTCAAATAAACCACCACCTCAGTCTAAGTGTGTGAGAGTGAGCCTACATGTTTATGTCTGCAGGAGGGTTAAAGCCATGTGTCAGGCTAATACCGGCTTTATAAGACAAGCCAAAAACATGTTATTATGCCTCCCTCTGCTGATTTGGAGGTTTCTCTCTAACTGCAGTTTTATATTACTCTGCAAGTACATATAATGACTTTGCACATTTTATTTGATCAATTATGTTTTAATGAATGAATAACTTAGAGACCCTGTGGTGTTTTCTTGTTAAAAGAAGCTATTTTTACACGTTTCTCACAAAACTGCACTGTGTATTGGTGAGGGCTTCGAGTTTACACTTTAGCTGACATGTAGGCTTGCTCCATTCAACACCTACTGTACCTCACAGAATACAAACGACAATGCAACAACAAAAAAACAATCTTACAAAGAAATAACCTTATCCAAACAAATGTCTGGATGTTGAACTTACATCTGAAGACTGCCTAAGAACCAGCAGGTGGCAGCAAATAACTCTAAATCAACATCTTTCAGCTAGTTGGTAAAGGTGTCATTAATAGAGGGCTGACAATAATCACATGCTTTAGTTAAAAGCCTCATGTATTAAATTTCCCAAAGCCTTTAGTGTGTGCAGTTTGCCTTTGCAGTAAACTATCAGCTATATAATAAACATGCCCAAGAAAGGGAAGAACAAAGAAAGAAAGAAAAAAGTGATGAGAAATTCTTAATGTATTTAGAAACGTCCTTAGTGATAGTACTAAATGCTATCAAAATTCCACAGAACCTTGTATTAGAAGCAACAATGAGATTTTCCTGCTCTACTCACTGCTGTATGGTAACATATGGTAACAAAGACATCTTTACAAATCCTCAAGGCATTAAGGAACTACCAGGGAGATGACCTTGTTTGCTTGTAGTCTTACACAGTCAGATTAACTGTGCTGAGAAATAACCCTCTTTGTATAGATGTGAGCCTCCTGCCTCTAATCTTCATCTTTAGTAACTGACTCCAGAGGTAACTACACCAGTGTCAGATCTGCAGCAGGAGGCTGCAGAGTACACTGAGCTCCAGATGGATGGTGGAGATGGTGGAGGGCTACGTTCTGCTGTGCCAAAGGGCCGAGGCAGCTCGTGCTAGAAAGGGCAGTTTTACGCTTGGCTACACAGCAGCGGGCTGCTCATCAGCTCAAAGCACAGGGGGAGCTGGAGCCCACTCCTGCCTGTCAGGTAGCTCTTTACTTTCACTATCAAGTCCCTTGATTTTGTCTGTGCCAATAGAGTGTCTGAGCACTCATCTGAGCTTTGATCCCTGCAGAGATCACTCTGTGCTCAAGAGAGGGAGACAATTCAGGCATATGTGGAACAACTAGTGCATATCAGTTGCCAAAGTATCACATGACATGGAAAATTTCTGATAGCAACAGACTATTCTGAAAAGATCAGTTCTACACGTTGAAGCACACTATTTCCCCATTCACACACACAAACCAATGATATCACCGGAAGCAACAAGGGGGTCAGTGTCTTGCTCAAGGACACTTTGAAATGTGGACTGAAGAAGCCAGGAACCGAACCACCAACCCTCCAGTTAAGAGAGGACCTTGTGCTCTATCTCCTGAGCCACAGCCACCGCCTACTACTATGTCACTTTAACCTGCACATACAGGTGCAGCTCAATAAATTAGAATGTCATGGAAAAGTCCATTTATTTCAGTAATTCAACTCAAATAGTGAAACTCGTGTATTATATACATTCAGTACACACAGACTGAAGTAGTTTAAGCCGTTGGGTCTTTTAATTGTGATGATTTTGCTCACATTTAACAAAAACCCACCAAATCACTATCTCAATAAATAAAGAATATGGTGACATGTCACTCAGCTAGTCAACTCAAAACACCTGCAAAGGTGTCCTGAGCCTTCAAAATGGTCACTGCTTGGTTCACTAGGCTACACAATCATGGGGAAGACTGCTGATCTGGCAGTTGTCCAGAAGACAATCATCAACACCCGTCACAAGGAGGGTAAGCGACAAACATTCATTGCCAAAGAAGCTGGCTGTTCACAGAGTGCTGTATCCAAGCATGCTAACAGAAAGT